TCGAAATTATAACACGCGCTCTTTGATAAAGAAAGCAAAGATAATCAGTTAAATCAACTTCCCCTCTCGAAACCCGCATTGTATCTTTCGTAGTTTATTGAGCAATTTATCGCAATTTTCTAGTACGGCTGTCAGGATTTATTGCGTATTATCTCTTTAATAGATTATTGTGTGGATTAGTAACACTAAATAACCCTTGATAAGTATTTTGAAGGTGAAATGATGTAATTTGCACGATTACTTGTGCATAGTTTACGAAAGTACAGATCCTTGATGGATTTTCACTCTTTTTCCTTTATCGATTGATCGCTTCAATATTATGCAAAAATTCGAAAAAGTTAAGAAGTTTCGAACTCCAGCTTGCGAAGACATAAGTAGTGAAAGTAAAATTCGTACGCAATGTAATCGTTCCGACACAGTACCATTCCATCCTTATAATAACACTTGGATGCACCGTGAAGTGAGCAGCGACATATGCAGCATCGAAGGCATTCGCAGTGCCAACTTTCATCGTTCATGAGCAGGAAATACTGGTCCGTTATTGGAAGCGCGCAAGAAGCACAGCAACCTGATTAAATCCGAAAAGAATCTTCTCTCAAACTTTCTAACTGCAGAATGCTTTAACAAATCCAGAGTTCCAAATACGCGCGTGTAAATTGGGAAATACTGAACTGAGTATGAAGAGTGTAGAAAAATTCATTGGAATTACGGAGAATAGGAGAATTTTTAAGAGGATGCTGACGTGTTTGTTGTGGCACTAAACGCATAAAATCAGCTGTGCTTGTGTAGAAAGCGGTAAGTTAGAAGGTGTGCTTTACTGACAACATCAGCATGCAGAATTCACGGTAATCTTGCACACTGAAGGCTAGGATTGCTTTGGGGTTCCAGACAGTGCAACACCGACTCAACCAATGCCTCTTTTCCTCCACGTGCATGAAAAGACCAAAAGCACTGCCAACATGAGAGCAAATTTTAAAGAAAAGCAGTGACCATTCTAACTGGTTGACGATCTGATTTCTTCAACACTTGCGCAAAAAAACGTACTAGCGTTGGCGAACTTTCACGCAGTGCTACCGGATTCCATAAAAAATTATGTTATTTCTGGTTCTGCGGGTGGTAAGAATTTGTAATGTTTAAAAAAAATTTTTGAATGTAGAAAATGAATGCAGCACATTTATCTCATAGAGGATGTTCGACTAATTTTGTGCGAAAAGAACTTTAAGCTGGCTAATAGTTTACCTGGCGTCGCTGCTGTGGAGCATAACCCGCTTGAAGTTGATGGAGGGCCAGGTATATTTGAGGAGCAGTTCGGCTCGATAACTTCATCCAGCGAAGACAGATAAATCATCTATAACAATTTAAAACTAGCAAAAATTCTCGCACATAATAACGAATGATTGTTCAACAAAGCGACGCGTAAATTTAA